AATAAAATAAAATAAAATAAAATAAAAAAACAAAGACAACAACAAAACTGAGAAGAAAAATAATTTAAGGTGAATCTATGTGAACCTATGTGCCAGGCTGGGTTGTAAACTCTTCGTGTGGACTTCCGGTATCTGAGAAATGACAGCACACAGTTTCTGGAATGCACACTTTGGGACAAAAGGGCATAGGTGAGGAAGGTAAGGGAAAAGGGTAGCGGGCTGGGCATTTTTAGAGCACCAGGTTTTGCCTAAATAGAGAGGTCCAAGGGCAGAGTGGTCAGGCACAGGATACCAAAGCCAGTCTACTCGGTTCAAACCTGGCACTGTCCTCTCTGATTTTGTGTCCCCGGCTTCTGCGTCACCATTCTGAGCCTCTGTTTCCCCAGCAGCAAAATACAAGGGGTATGAAGATTAATGAGCAAATACATATAGTTTACAACCCAAGCTGGCACATGGTACATGTGGGTTAATGTTGGCCATTATTATTATGATTATATTAACTTATTTAATCTTTACCATAACCTATGAGGTACACACTTAGATTCTTCTTGGTTCTCAGATAAGGTAACAGGTTCAGGGAGCGCAATTCCCTGCTCAGGTCACACAGCCGGTAAGAAGCAGCAATCAACGCCAAGTTGGGCTATCGCCTTACCCCTTGATGCCTGCAGTAGAACCCCGGGCTCCTCCTCTGACTCGGCAATGGCAGGACTGGTCCCAGCTCCTGAGATCTCAGTCCTATCGCGGAGGCCCCATCCACCCCCAACATGTGACCCCCACAGGATGGGGTTCACAGAGCAGAGTGGGCCTCCTTGGGCGAAACCTTCACTCTATCCTCCTCTCAGATGTTGGAATCATGGCGAGGTTGGATCAAGGCAGTATCCCTGTGGTCTTTCCTTCCCGTGGCTCCTTCTCACCTGGGATGACAAAGCAGTGGGCTGGGAGTCAGCAGACCTGGGTTCTCGCCCCAGCTCTGCCACCAGCCCAGTGGGTGACCTTAGGCAAGTCACTGTCCCCATCACTAAAATGATGGAGTTGGATTCAGCCATCCTGAGCTCTCTGAGATTCTAAGTTTACAATTCAGAGGATCAGAATGTCACATCTCACATATCAAGATGAAAAAGTGAGTGTTTCAGCCAGTTGACTGCAATGAGAAGTGATAACCCATCCCTTAAGTGCCCCTTGGAAGCACATCCATTTAGCACATACCATAAATTCAAAGAGAGCAGGGAGAGAATCACTGTTTGCTTTGCACACCCCAAGCTTGGTGCTTCACACAAGAGCTCATTTAATCCTTACAGCAGCCTGGTGACATAGGGCCTGTTTGTGATGCCATTTTACAAAGAGGCAACTGAGACTCAAAGTAGTCAGGTTGAACCAGTAGATGTGACCTTTGGACCCAAGGATTTCTGACTCCCAATCTATTCTTGCTACAAGATCCTGAGCAAGCAAAAACAAATTCCAAGCAAATACATGGCTTCCTTTTTTTTTTTTTTTCCTTCTTCTTTTTAAAGCATCTTGCCTTTCAGGAGCTGCTCTTACACAGTTTTTCCTCCACCAGCAGAGCAGGAACTGAGACCCAGTTCAGATATTCCAGACTCAGACCCTGGAACAAAAAGAAGCCTAATCAGGGCCTGGAAAGCTCGCTGAATCTCTAGCACATGGCTGGCTGGTGTCTTCTGAAGTTAGCCAAGCTGGAGCCTGCCCGGGGGGCTGAAGGATCATTTCCCTGGTGGCACTGAACCTACACCCCATGTGTTTCCCATCTTCCATGGTTCTCCTGTCCTATCCAGGTTCCTTCGTTGCAGGCAGTTTACCAGACATCCAAGTACCAACTGTGTTCACGTGTAACTGGCCTGGCCCTCCCAGGAGCCCCGGCCCCTTCCTGCCCCTCCTTAGGAAGCAGAGCACCCATGGTCTCCCAGATGGAGGTGGGGGCTTTGGTGTCGGACACTCCTGCGTCCGCAGCCTGGCTCTCAGCCATTTCTTAATCATGTGATCCTGGCAAGTCACCTCACCTCACTGGCCTTCAGCTTTTACATCCGAAAAGTGGAAATAATATTTCCTCTAAGAGGTATATACAGACGAATGAAACAGTGCTTTCGATCCAGGTTTTGTGATGGCCGCAAAGGGGCTGCTGGGGGGGGGGGGCGAGGGAAGGGGGCAGAACGGGAAGACTCAGGTGCCCCAGCGCCCCACCCCAACCCCCTCACAGCAGCTGCCCAGGTGTTTGGTTTCCATGGCTGGGTTCCTCTGTGATTCTGGGGAAAGGAAAGGGGTATGCCGTGGAAAGAAAGGGTACAAATTCCTGTTCTAGTTCTTGTGGAAATGCTTGGTACCCAGTAGGCACTTAATAAATGTCAGCACTTTCCTCTTTCCTTCTTGCCCCCTATCATTCTCTCCCCCGGGGTTCTTTATTAGATGGCTCAGCTAAGGACCGAACCCAAAGAAATGGAGAGAAGGCAGCAGGATGAGTATGGAGTATTTTCAAAATATCAAGTGAATCACCCGAGTATGGGGTCCACGGTGGGGGGGTCAAGCAGGCTGTGACCCAACACATCACCGTGGCACATCACGGCCCAGACTCAACTGGCAGCTCCAGGCCAAGGGCCCTCTGCCTGCAATGAGCACCAGAAAACCAGGCTCCCGGGAAACCCAGGCACAGAGCCCTGCTCCACCTACGTGCCACTCACAACAGGCTGGCTTCCTCCTCCTCTCGCCCAGGGAAGACCCAAAGGGACACAGCTCTGAAGATGTGTGAAGGGGTCCGGGAGGCGGGGAGGCCCTGGTGGTAAGGCCTGGCTGCTTTCTGCAAATAAGCAGGGCTTGCTGAACTGTGAGGGCCCCAAGATGGAGCAAAACCTGCCATCAGCCCTGCCCGGTTTCCGCGGATCCTCGGAGAACCGTCCTGCTCTGGAGAACAGAGCCACGACTGGAGCCACAGCGCCACCTTCAGGCTTGCGTCCACCTTGCTTTTTCCCTGCAAAACGCTGCTTTGGGCTGCAGGTGGTAGGCTGGAGGCTCAAAGCAAATCCACGGAACCTCTGAGATGTTGTGCTGCTCATGTGCTCCAACAGATGGGCTTGGGGTGGAGAGAAAAGTCGTTGATAACACGTGTATGGCAGCCAGGGCCGTGCTCCAGACAGGAAGCTGGCGGAGCTAGAAGCCAATCTTCCATCTTGGGGATGGGAACACGGAGGGTCAGAGACCTGTCCACAGTTACAGAGTGACTTGCAGGCAGAACTAGTACCTGACCCCAGGCTCTTGAAGCATCCCGTGTCTCTCGATCTGGATGGCTGTTCACCTGTCAGTTCCATAATAACTTTACTGTGTAAGAGACAACCATCATGAGCCTGCAACACACACACTAGAGAGTGGCTCCTGTTCACCCAGAAATGCCAGGATATGGGGCTCAGTTTAGAGGTTACAGCTGCAGATCAGCATCACAACATGGGCTCCGTGGGGACTGAGGAGAGACTTCTCACAGTGGATGGGAAGGGATTTCATCACAGGACTCACCTACCTTCCTATACACCCTCACACTCACCCTCTCCATCAGGCAAACTCCTACTCCCCCTTCATGACCCACTCACAAATTGCTGTCTTATGAGGACTTCTTTGACTTTCCCTCCATGCCAGTACAGTCTATCATTTTTACCTTGTGCCATCACTGTATCTACTTGAAACATCAATCACTGAATCCTCCTATATTACGATGACTTGACTGTCTCCTTGTCCAGATGGGGAATTCTGGCCAGGAAAACCAGCCCTCATTCTTCCTTGTGTCTCCAAAGACCAGCCACAGGAGGTACATAGAAAATGAGGGCGGACAGATGGATGGATGAGTGGATGGTGAATAGATGAGTGGATGAATGATGAGTAGATGGATGGATAAATGGATGGGTAGGTGGACGGATGGATGGATGGGTAAGTGGATGGATGATGGATGGACGGATGATGGGTGGATGGATGGCAAATGAGCTAACTCTAGGGGATGGCGTAGAACAGGGATGGCATTCAATGTCATTGAACAGGGACGGCATCTAAGGAGACATACATCTAAGAACATATTTCCAAGCCAAAGTCAAAAAGCATAAATGCAGATGTGCATGTGAAGAGGAGAAGCTTGCTGGCCTCATCCATCAACCCCCTCCTTCTGACCACCTCTTTCTCTGGTTTCCCAGGGAACCCACTGGAAAGCAGATAGTGGTTTTCTAGATGTAGTTCCTGGGATACCCGTACCAGAATCACCTGGGCCGTTTGTTAAAGTGCAGATTCCTGGGCTCTGCCTCAGTGAGTCTGGGGCCGGGCCTGGGAATCTGAATTTTATAGCCCCCACCCAAGTGACTCTGATGCATGGGTAACTTTGTCAAGCACTCACGAAGGAGGAATGGCATCCAGGGACATGCCAGGAATTGCCTTTGTTGACCGCTGGCCAGAGAGGTTGAAAACTTGACCCAAAGTCCCACAGACACTACATGGCAAAAGTACCTAGAGTCCTCAAAGACCGAGAAGCCCAGAGGAAGAGGAGGGCCTCTAACTCTGTCCATCCCTCATGCCCGCAGCCTGAGGAGGCTGGCACATGCCTGGAACGAAGAGCCTGCCCTCACCCCCCAAGCTGCAGTGAGCAGCGCCTACCTTGTGTTCCCTGCTCCCTCCCAAAGCCCAAAGCACCAGGCTCGCTGCGTGTTTACCAAGGCAGAGAAGCCAGCAACTGTTTTCGGTGTCTGCTTCTACCTAAATACAGATCTGGCTCCCAAACGCTGCCAGCGAACCTTACCAGACCTGGCACACTAGTGCCAGGTGTGTTCAGGCTGGAAAGGGCTCAAGGATGATGACAGCACCAGAGGATCGTTCTGGACCGGGGAACGGCCAGCATCCTGGCAACCACGAATGGGCAAGCAGCCTTCCCAGGCCAGCTGGTGAGGTCCTGCAAGGAGGAGAAAGAGCCCACTGGAAGGCAAAAGAAAACGCACAGCCTCACCCAAGCCTCTGCTGGTCCCTGTGGTCCAACAGTACCTAAGTTCCAGCCATACTGGACCTTTCGCTGAGCACCTACCATGCACCAGGCCTTGTTTTCGGTGACTATTTTGGTTTATCCTTACAATAACCCCAGGAAACATGTAATGTCCTTATGCCCATTTCACTTAAAAGAATACTAAGATCCAGGAAGGTGGTGAGTTGCCCAAATCCTGAGTCAGAACGGAGGCAGAGTCAGAACTTGAATCCAGGTCTCTGCTTGTGGAAGGTTCCTTCGCTGCTAGCTGTGCTGTTCTCCATGCCCACCCCAGGTCGTCTGGCCTCCCTGCTCCTGTCCATGCTGCTCCCTCCACCTAGAATACCTTGCCCCTGAGTGCCATCTTGTGGTGCTTCAACCCAGGGCGCTGGCCACTTCCTCCCTGAAGCCCTCCCGGATCCCATCTCTCATCAGTTAATTGCTATGTTTCCACAGCACATTGCTTGGACTGGTATCTAGTCCCATTTTCACCTGCCGTACGGGTGCTGATTTCCATGATGATCCCCTAAATCTCAATCTCCAGTTCTCCCCGAAACCCAGCCTCTGCCCACCACACGTCTGCCCCCAGTGTCTAACTCAGGCGTTTGCCCTCAACAGGGCTTCAGGCTGACCCTCTGGTGAGTTAGTCCGGGGCCCACGTGCAGGCCGAGTACTAGCCACACTGCCTGCCCCCCGTCCCATGGCCAGGGCCACTAGTCATCACTGAGGGTGGTGGGGCCTATGGGTCTGACGGAGGAGCACTGAATCCTAAATCAGAAGAGTTAAGTGTGAGACTTGGTTCTGAAACTTCTCCGAGCTGCAGGTTGTTCCATCTGTGGAATGGGTGGGCGGATGCATAGATGATCCCTCTGCCCCACGGCTCTGTCAAGCATTGCTTGTGCATGGATGGGGCAGCCTATGTCAGACATCTGTGTCTTTATGAAGGATTGAACACACTGAGCCCTCAGAGTGGCTACAGGGTGGTGCTTGAGGGACACTGAGGCAGGCTCAGCTGGAGGAGGGGGTTCTGACCAGGAGTAGGAAGAGACAAGTTCTGGCGGATCAGCGGAAGAAATGCCGGGGAGGGCACAAGTGGCTGATCTGACGCACAGCGGGGTGTGGCCTGCTCCCCAGCGGGGAAGGACAGGCAAGGGGGGGGGACTGGGACGGCTCATCTGGCCCTGGGGTGGAGCGATGGAGACACCGCGCGAGAGCCCCTTGCTGTTGGAAGCCTGCTTGTCTGGGCCAGTGTGAGTGGCAGTGGGATTGAGAAGGGAGACATTCTAGGAACATCTGAGAAGAATCTCTGGGTCTCAGTGATGCCAGCAAGCAGCAGAGAGGAGAAGAGCAAGCAAAGGTGGCCTGGAGGTTTGACCCTGGGGCGGTGAGGTCTGGCAGGTGAGGGACCGCAGGAGAGAAGCAGGATGAGCAGGGGTGAGCCTGGCTCTGAGAGGCCAGGGATGGGGGGGAGGGGCAGAGGAAAGAAGACCTGGCCTCCAGTCTGCATGTCTGCCCCTTACTTGGAGCAGATCGCTGTTCCACTCTGAGACTGTTTTGTCACCCATGAAACGGGGGGAAGAAGACTGCCTAGGGGACGCTTGGACACAGAC